TCGTCGTCGTCGTCGTCGTCGTCGTCGTCGTCGTCGTCGTCGTCGTCGGTCGTCGTCGTCGTCGTCGTCGTCGTCGTCGTCGTCGTCGTCGTCGTCGTCGTCGTCGTCGTCGTCGTCGTCGTCGCCGTCGCCGTAGCCGTAGTCGTAGTCGTAGTCGTAGTCGTAGTCGTAGTCGTAGTCGTAGTCGTAGTCGTAGTCGTAGTCGTAGTCGTAGTCGTAGTCGTAGTAGTCGTAGTAGTAGTAGTAGTAGTAGTAGTAGTAGTAGTAGTAGTAGTAGTAGTAGTGGTAAGTAGTAATCGTGGTCGTAGTACTAGTAGTAGTAGTCGTAGTAGTAGTAGTAGTCGTAGTAGTAGTAGTAGTAGTAGTAGTAGTAGTAGTAGTAGTAGTAGTAGTAGTAGTCGTAGTCGTAGTAGTAGTCGTAGTAGTAGTAGTAGTAGTAGTAGTAGTAGTAGTAGTAGTCGTAGTAGTAGTAGTAGTAGTAGTAGTAGTAGTAGTAGTAATCGTAGTCGTAGTCGTAGTCGTAGTTGTAGCAGTAGGAATCATAGTAGTAGTAGCAGTAGTAGTAGTAGTAGTAGTAGTAGTAGTAGTCGTAGTAGTCGTAGTAGTCGTCGTAGTAGTAGTAGTAGTAGTAGTAGTAGTAGTAGTAGTAGTAGTAGTAGTAGTAGTAGTAGTAGTAGTAGTAGTAGTAGTAGTAGTAGTAGTAGTAGTAGTAGTAGTAGTAGTAGTAGTAGTAGTAGTAGTAGTAGTAGTAGTAGTAGTAGTAGTAGTAGTAGTAGTAGTAGTAGTAGTAGTAGTAGTAGTAGTAGTAGTAGTAGTAGTAGTAGTAGTAGTAGTAGTAGTAGTAGTAGTAGTAGTAGTAGTAGTAGTAGTAGTAGTAGTAGTAGTAGTAGTAGTAGTAGTAGTAGTAGTAGTAGTAGTAGTAGTAGTAGTAGTAGTAGTAGTAGTAGTAGTAGTAGTAGTAGTAGTAGTAGTAGTAGTAGTAGTAGTAGTAGTAGTAGTAGTAGTAGTAGTAGTAGGGTTGCACATGGTCTTCGTGTTGGTACGAACGTCACCTCCGTGTGCTCTTCTTTTGCAGAAGGCCTAATCGAATTCCTGCAAGGAGAATAACGGAAACAGTGTGGCCTTCGTGTATTTCGCGCCACTGCCTACCTTCGTGCATTATTCACTGCAGAGGCTGTGTATGGGGTTCGCATTAGAGAGTAAACAAACAAGACATTTTTGAACTTGTCCTCCGTGTCGCCGTCGGATCTGGAGCAACCGCCACCGCCAGCCGCTTCATTTCGGCACACGCCTCTCGAGGATCGGGGGCCTGGCCCTCCGACGCGCGATTTCGGCGCACACCACACAAGGATCGTGGCCCTGGTCCACTTGGGAGCGCTTCCGAGGGCCCACCGACGTCCAATTTCGGCACGCCGCTCACGAGGATCGTGTCCTGGCCCAATTGGGAGTGCTGCCGGCGGCCCACCGATGAGCAATTTCGGTACACCCCTCACACGGATCGTCGACCTCGCCACGTTGGGATCGCCGCCCGACGCTCAATTTCGGCACGCTTCTCACATGGATCGTGGCCCTGGCCCAATTGGGAGCGCTGCCGATGGCCCGCCGACGCCCAATGTCGGAACACCCCTCACGAGGATCGTGGCCGTCTGGTCCAGTTGGGGGGCGCTGCCGAGGGCCCACCGACGCGCAATCGCGCACACCCCTCACAAGGATCGCGGCCCTGGCCTCATTCGAAGCGCTGCCGAGGGCCCGCCGACGCGCAATTTCTGCACACTCTTCAGGATAATCACGACTTCGATCCCATTGGGAGCGTCGCCGGGGGCCCACCGACGTCCAATTTCGGCACTTCCCCCACCAGGATCGTAGCCCTGGGGCCAGTACGACGCATCCTGGCCTTTTGTACATCTGTTTTGCGAGTCGGCCGTGCGCACTTCGCACGATATAAATATCCGCCGTGCACCGTCTCTTGCAATGCTGCTGTCGCACTATTGTCGGCACGAATTATATCATCCCTTGGTGCCGATGGGCTGAGTACGCCGTCGGGTAATATTGGGATTCCGGGAGGGTCAGCGTTGATCCTGTCGGGGGTCTGGTCGAGTGGGGGAGGGGGTGCCTACTAATCTGGAGCAGTGATGGCCTCCTCCCCGAAGGGGAAGCAAGGGCCTGGAAAAAAAACCATTCGTGAACCACCTGCGTCCAGGGGGCTGGTGGCGTTGCTTTCTTCCGCAGCCGGGCGGCCTTGCACCAGCGACCGTGTTGATTGCAGTGTACGGTGTTGGCTGCAGTGTCTGTTGCATGCAAGGGGTGTCAGGTGGACGACGACGACGGCGACGGCGACGACGACGATGACAGCTGGCACGTGGGCGCCGCGGCTCCTGCGCCGCCAGCGGCGGGAGGAATCGCGCAGATCGTCCTCCTGTCGTAGTGCTCGGCGACGTGAGGGTGGTGCTTGTGACAAACACCTCGGCCCCGCGCGCGCGGCCGACGCCTGCGGCAACGCCAGCCTGTTTTCATCCAGTTCCGTTTTTTTGGCCGGTTCTCGCCAGTCGAGCCACAGCACACGACCCAGAGCTGTTCAGTGAAGACAGGCAGCGCCTTTGTCGAAGCCACGTGCAGGGTAAGGTCGCGTCCGGGGTCTTCGTGGCCATGCCGACGGCGCGCCTTGCCATCGGGGCCCCTTACGCGGTGCGGTGACCACATTGTGTGATAATTTAGTGGGGATTTGGGGCGACCGAACGGTTTAGGGACTTGGGTTCTCCGAGGTTTTATCATGCAACTGGGGCCTCCGAGATCCCAACGCCCGGGCGGTGGCGGTGACCGACCGTGCGGTGAGCTTTTCGGGGATTCCGAGGTCACCGCACGGTTTGTCACCGCACTGTTTCAGGGGCGCGGTCGTTTCGTGTCGTGTCGACGCGGTGGCGACTCCGCTGCGGGCGTTTAAGGTTGAATGCCACCAGTGGCCTGGCATCGGCCAGTATGGAACGATTTGCCGATCGAAGGGCGGCCGATCGTTCACGGTTGAATGATCCAAGTGGTGTCAGAGGCCATCGCAGGAGTCGTCACGACACGAATTTGCCGTAGCGAAACGTCTCCAAATCCCCAGTCGGAGCAGTGCCCCTCGTTGGAACACTTGCCAGCCCAGATCGCTCTGCCACTCGCGCAGGAATATTATAGCGCCGCTCCCTGCACAGTGAGCAATGATACCGCTCTGTGTGACGTCGCGCGCTGCGGTCACGCTGCGCAGCATCGGTCTTCATTTTTTTTCCGCAGCTGCAGCGTGCGTCGATGTACGCTTGTGGCAGACCTAGCTCCGCTTCAGTTGGCCGGCGACGACGCATCGCGTGTGGGATCGCGAAATCGCGAAATGGCTATGGTGACGCAGGTATCGTCGAAGGCAGTTCTGAGGGCGATTGGGATTTGGTTAGACACGTGAATTTCGTTAGACATTCCTTCATCCTCCTATTCTGCGACCAAGCGATCAAGAAATTCTTGACGCTTCGTGTATTCCTATCAGCCCATCCAAAATATATACCAGGCGAGTTTCCATGATCAGGGATGTGCAGCAGCAAGCGGCCTGGCAGTGACCCGCGTCCGCGTCGTTGTGTGCGCTTCGCGGCTCCTCGTGGTTGTCATGGTTGAGTGGTTGTTTGTCGTCGCCTGCGGTGCCTGTATAACAGTACAACGTCTTGCGTGCCCAGGGCCTCCTTGGCAGACTGGTAGCTCTGGGAGCGTCTTGGAGGCCTCTTGTGGCCATCGTGGGGCCTTCTGCGGGTCATCGTGCAGGCCTCTTCGGCCCTCTTGGGGATCTTGGGGCTCACTTGGGGCCCTGGAGGCCTTGGGGACTCTCTTGTGGCCATCTTGGAAGTCATCGGTCAAAGAAGGGGGCGGAGGGTACTCAAGTACGGCCCCCCGTCTGGGCCCGCGAATTGGCTTCTTGGGGCCCCTTGGGGCGCTCTTGCGTCTTGGGGCCATCCTGGGCCCCTTTTGGGGCCCTCTCGGGCCATCTTGGAGCCATCTTGGGCCTCACGAGACCATTGGAAACGAAAAGGCGAGAAGGTAACCACACTGAAGCACACTGGTTTGAGTGGTTTAGGCCTCTTGGAGGCCTCCTTGGGAGTCTCGGAGGGCACTCGGGGCCGTTCTTAAGCGATCTTGAGAGCTCTTGGAGGCATATGAGAGGCTGTCATGGCATATCTTGATCTATCTTGCAGGCCATTTGGGGCTCCCTGGGCCCTCCTTGGGCTATCTGGGGCCAAGAGAACCCTCTGACATCTCGCGGGGGGGGGGGTCCAAGACCCAGGGGGAAGGGGGGATGGGGAACCCCCTCCCCGAAGGGGAAGAGAAAGGGTTTGCAGAACAGGCTCGTTAGACCAGTCATGCCCCAAAGGGCCGGTAATGCTCCCCCCTTGTGTGTGTATGTTCTGTCCTTGACATCTCTTGCTGTGTTCTCGAGGGCGACCGCTCGACAGGATGTCGTTTCCATAATCCTTTTTGGCTCTGTAGTTTCAGAGGGCCGCGCTCACACCTTCCATGTGGCCATGGTTGGCTGACCGCGGCGCCAGCCTTGCCCTCGGCTACTTTGGGCGCTTCCCTGCGGCGCCGAGCTGCCCGCCCTGCCCGAGCTGCAGCCTCTCCTGCGCGCACGTCGCGTGCCCAGCCGCGCCGCCGTGCCCGGCTTGCCCCGCGGGGGCCTTCTCAGCGGCCGCGCCCCAGGAGGCGCCTGCCGCTCCGCGGGGCCCCCAGGCGCCGCCCACCGGGCCGTGCCCGGAGCCAGCGCCCTGCGCGGGCGGGTCAGGAGGCTGGTGGATCTTCTTGCTGGGCCTCATCGTCGGCGTGCTCCTGAGCGTGCTGGCCTGTGCAGCCTGGCGAGCGGCGGTGGCAGCCGCCCGGGCCTTGGTTGCCCCTCGGGCGAGGCCCGACGCTCCTGCCCTGGCGGACGAGCTGCCCGTTGCCGCCGCCGTCCCTGGCGGTCCCTCGGAGGCGACACCATCGACACTGAGGAGGCGGCATGGCCCGCACGCTTGACGTACCAGAGCGGCAGATCTTAGTGGACTTCTTCGACGACCCCAACGGGTTTCGATGGCATATGCGATTGCTCGTCCTGGCCACGCCCAACCCTGGGCAATGGATATGTTCGACGCCAGGTCTGAGCATTCAGTTCATCGACGTCACCACTCACAGAGTGATCCCTCTCACGCGGGACTCGGAGTTCCCGCGGCGTGTCAGAGGCGAGGTCTATGCGTTCGATCCGTTGACCCCCGAGGAGCTCCAACAGGTCCGCCGAGAGGCCAAGGAGCTGCTGGCCGTCTACGGGCTCACGGGGGGCGCGGACGCGCAGCCCGAGGGTGGGCGCTGGCTGATAGCCGACCCCGCGCACCCGGGCTTCGGCGACGCGCTCCCCGCCGCGGCCCTCGCCGACGCCGACAGCCTCATCATCCGAGGCGACCGCGGCCTCGCCTGCGTGGACGAGGACTGTCTCGCCGTGGAGAGGCTGCTGGACGAGGACTTGGACAACTGGCGGTTGCTCAAGTCGACGGGCGCGGGCCGCGACAGGCGGATCCTCGGCGACGAGCGTGTGAACGGGGTACCCGTGCTCTCTCTCACCGCCGCGGCGCGGGCCAGCAGCAAGGCCCATCGGCCTGGCTGGCCCTTCCGCGGCGACGCCTGCGCCCCGGAGCTTGTCGTGGCGCTCGTCGCTGCGGGGATCGTGTTCATCACTCGCCACCTGGGCTGGAGAACGAAGTCGGGGTCAGTACCACGTCGGGGGTGTGCCGGACGCACCGCCGCATCTGCGAGGGCCTCGACCAGGCCATCTGCTACGGCCAACTCGACTTCGCCAGCTGCGCGGTCATCGAGCACCTCGCCCGCTGGCTCTACGAGGCGGAGTCGGCGGTCAGGAGGAACCCGAAGGTGCCAGACTTCACGAACCTGGACGGCATCTTCGCGGCTCCCATGGCCGAGGACGGGCGGATGCAGCTGCCGACCTTCTCCAAGTGGGTCTCGCTCCGCCGCGACGAGGCTCAGATCATGAAGCAGGGGCGGCTCTGGAGCGAGGGGCGCGGCATCGACCGCGCCAAGCACAAGGGCAAGGACGGCAAGGGGCCAGGCCGCGGCGGCGGCAAGGGCCCCAACCCCTCGGCCGAGCAGGGGCCTTCGGCCCGGGTCAGCGGGGCAGATCTTCTGGCGACGCCTGCTTCGACATCGCTTGCTGCCCGGGTGCCCCTCTCGTCGCCATCTCCGTGCTGACGCTCCTCGTGGACGTCCCCTTGGTCGGTGGAGGCCCCGACGTGAGCGACGGCGCGGACGAGCTTGGCGGTCCGATGATGCGGGAGATGGCCCTCGACCTGACCCCGCCAAGGACTGCCGCGCCATCCAGGGTCACAGTCGCGGAGACCCCTTCCCCCTCCCGCTGTCTGGGGAGGTGCTCGCGCGCGGCGGCCATGCTGGGCCTGCTTCGCGGTCGCGAGTGCGATGTGCGCGCGAGGCGATCTGGTCTCTGAACGCCCTCGACGCCCCATCGCGCGCCCTTCGGGCGCACCGGCCTTCCTCGAGCCGTCGCCTCGCGGAGGCGCAGCGCTCGATCATCTCGCGCGTCAGCCGACGCGTCGAGAGCTACGGAGAACGACCCGACATCCTGCCCGCCACCGCCTACGCCGACCTCATCAAGAGTCACGACTTGTACTCGGGGCAGCCGATGAGCTTGCAGCCGTGCGACCCCAGCCTCCACAAGGTACTCCACCGCGACCGACGCCCCCAGGAGCTCCGCGGCTGCCTGGGCGCCGAGGGTCGCAGGTGCCTGGGCCGCGCCGACGAGCTTATCTTCAGGACTGAGGCCGAGCTTGACGTCCTCCAGGAGAGCGAGCTGATCCAGCCCATCTCGCCGTAGTGGGACCCGATCCTGAAGAACAACCGCCGCGCCAGGATAGACTTCATCAAGCACCTCGCCTCCGTAGGCCTCGTCGGGTTCAGGCTCTCCGTCCGTGGTCGCGTCGGCGCTTTCTGCGTGGGCAAGGAGGACGGACCCCTCCGCTTCATCCTCGACGGGTGCGAGCCCTCCCCGCCCCACAGGAGGCCGCCCCACACCGCCTTGGGATCCGCTGGGGCCCTCGCAGGGCTCGACCTTTCGGACCAGGCCCTGCGGCCCCAGGGCGTCGATCCCCAGGCGGCCGACATCCGCGCGGCGGGCCTGGGCCTGAAGGATGGGCTCTACCAGTTCGCGAACGACGACCTCGCGGACTGGTTCGGGTTCAACTGCCCCGAGGCCGCGTCCGACTTTGGCGACCCGCAGGTGCACATCCCCGCCGACGGCTGCATCGTCCAGGTGTCGAGCGACACTCGGATCTTCGCGGTCTTTCGAGGTCCTCTGATGGGTTGGTCGTGGCCCCTGTTCTTCTCCAAGGATCTCCTAGAGGAGGCCCAGTGCAAGGGCCTTCTGAGCTTTGGATGTGAAGACGGAGGCCGCTTGGTGCACGAGAGGTGCCCCGCGCCCTTGCTGGCGCCCGGCCGCCCCCTGTCCCAGCCCTACGTGGACAACGCCAACGTCGTCGGCCTCAGCCGCAGGGGCACCGAGCACGCGCTGCGCGGCGCCCAGCACGTCCTGGACTACTTAGGCATCGACTACCACGACCTGGTGGATCCCACGAAGTTGTGCACCGCGGTGGGCGTCGTGCTCGACACGGCTGCGCGCCGCCTTCGCCACGCGGAGGCTCGCGCCTGGCGCCTGTGCCTTGGCGTGGAGCATCTGCTTCGTGTGCGTCGTGCGTCTGGCCGTGCCCTTCGAGTCGTGCGCGGCCACCTGGTCAACCACTTCGTGATCGCGCGGCCAGCGCTTGCGGCGTCGGACGAGGGGCGCCGCTTCATCGCGCAGCACCTGGACGTGCGGGCCCCCCTCGGCCGCCTCCTGCTGGGCGAGCTCCGTGTGCTGAAGGGTCTGCTGCGGCTGGCCGACGTGGACCGCGCCGCCCCCTGGTCGCGTGTAGTCTACTGCAGCGACGCGTCGGGCGGTGAGCTGCGTGGCTGGACAGGCTGGCCTTTCGCCGTCGCGGGGAACGGCGGCTGCGCCCTCCACGAGACGGCCTGCGTCGACTACGAGGCCATGCAGGCTTTCAAGTACCGCGAGCGCTGGAGGTTCAAGATGGAGGAGGAGGAGCTGGTCGCGCCGGGGGCCCCGAGCGACGAGATCCGCGGCTGGGCCCCTGAGCCCGCGGCCACCTCCGACCTGCTCATCGCCGGACTCCTGGCCCCCAGCTCCAAGCCGTCGGTGATCGACCGGCGCCTCCCTCGCACGAGGGCCGTCATCGTGCAGGGCGCCGTGCCAGCTCTGGACGACGCCTTCCTGGTCCGCAGCCGCTGGAAGGTGATCGTGCGAGGCGCCTTCAGGTGCAAGGCCTCCGTCCACGTGAGGGAGGCTCGGACTCAGCTCCTCGGGCTCGTCCGCGCCTCGCGCGATCCCCGCGTGCGCGGCCTCCGCGTCGGCAGCCTGGGCGACGACGTGGCGGCGCTCCTCAGCTTCGAGAAGGGGCGCGCCCGTGACAGGGCCCTCCTCCAGCTCTGCCAGGTCAGTGCCGCCCGCCAGATCGGGCGCGAGATCCAGTGGAAGCAGCGCTACTGCGAGTCAGGCCGCAACCCGGGCCGACGGACGCCGACGGTCGTGCTGCTGACCTGGGACACGTCCTACCTGATCATCCCCAGCGTGGCTGCTCGCGGGCCCTGGCCGTCATCGAGTCGGCCATCGCGGGGCTTGCCACAGAGCCCGCGGGGCCTCCTGCTCGCGTGCGGCGCCCCGCACCCTGTGGGCCGGCCGCTGGCCTCCTGCCTGGCGGGGCGGCCGCGCGCCTAGCCAGGGTCGGCGCCTTCGCGCGGCGGAGGCCCCCTCGGGCTGGCGCCGTGCACGGGCGGGCGCCCAGCGCCCGAGCCCCTCGCGCTGCCCCGCAGGCCACGCCGCGCGGGCAGCCGTGCCAGCGCGCCCGCGGGGGCCGCAGCCGCTGCCGGGCATTTTGCGAGCTCTACGCGGGCACCGGCAGGCTCGCGGCAGCCGTCAGAGACATTCGTTTGCACTGCGCTCCACACTTCGAGGTTGGAAATGGTAAGCACTTCGACGTCCATCATCATTCTGTCTTTCGTATTTTATCACGCTGGATTCGCTTCAAGAAGCTTTGGTACATTCATGTCGGTACTCCGTGCACTTTCTGGTCGCTCGCCACTGGGTCCCATCGGGACTCTCATCAGCTTCAAGGGCTTCGAGCTGCTCGTGCTACCTCGCGGCTTCTACGGCTATGTCATCAGTACGGCGTGCACTGGTCTCTGGAGAACCCGGCTGGGTCCAAGTTCTTCAACTGGGACCCCCTCGCGGACTTCCTGATGACCTCAGGTGGCAACTGGGCCCTCCTCCACTACTGCCAGTACGGCTGCACCTATAAGAAGCCTACGTACCTCGTGTCGAGCCTCCCAGAGATCACATCTCTCGAGCGCCTCTGCCCGGGGAACCACAGCCGCGAGATATTCCAGGGCAAGGTATCCTTCGCGTCACCCTCTGGGGCCATCCGGAGCCATTGGAAGACCAGCCTTGCGGGGGCCTGCCCACCTGAGCTCTGCCGCAGATGGGCTCGCCTCCTCGCGGCCTGTGCTCCCCGCGCTGCGCGCCGCGCCCATGCCGGTGACCCGCTCGGCGACCACTGGGGAACTGAGCTGGCGGCCAACTTCCCAGGCGGAGGCGTCCAGCCCCAGCGGCCGCGACCCTCCTGCCCTTCGGGGTCGCCGCCCGAGTGGCCCGCCTCGGCGCCGCAGTGGGGCGCCGCCTGGTCCAAGCCCGCCGCCTCTGGCGGGCCGGCGCCGGGCCGAGGCGCATGCAACAAAGAGCGTCGGGGTGCGCCGGCGAGAGCGGGCGGTCGGTGCGGACAGGCCCTACCTCGAGCACCGGCGTGTCCAGCCCCGCACCGTCGCCTTGTGCCGCGAGGCCCACCGCGAGTTCAGCCAGTGGGCGGCCGAGCAGCACCTCCGCCAGGTATCCATGGGCGAGACGCACCTGGCCATGACGAGGTACCTCGACCATATGTACTTCCAGGGGCTTAGCATCGCCCACGCCAGGGGCGCCGTCCACGGGGCGATCTTCGTGAAGGACTACCTGCGAAGATCGCCGACCACCGTGTGCCGTGCCAAGGGCGCCCTGGCCGGGTGGTTCAAGGCAGGGCCCGACCGCGTCAGAGATCCGCTGCCGTGGGAGGCTGCGGTGCTGATCGCCGACAACCTCGCCGAGAGAGACTGCGAGGGGGTCGCCGCCGCTGGGGCCCTGCTCGTCAGCTTCGACGGGTACATCAGGCCGAGCAACGCCCTGGCCATCACGAGCCGCGAGGTGAGCCAGCGCCAGGCCGGATCCAATCCCAACAACCCCAGCCTCGTGGTCACGATCGCTCCTCGGGCCGACGACCACGGCCAACAGCCCGCCCCATCGACCAAGTCGGGGGACCACGACTGCACCATCGTCTTCGGCGACCAGGCCAGCCTCAAGGCCAACAGGGGCATCTGCCGCGACGCCCTGCTCTGGGCCTCAAGGAAGGCCCGCCGCGGCAGGCCCCTGTTCGATATCAGCCTCGCAAAGTACGAGCAGCTCTTCAACCAAGCCGTGTCCGACGTAATGCTGAGCTCTCTCAGGGCCACGCCGCGCTGTGCCCGACGCGGAGGCCCGAGCGCCGACGCAGCTCTCAAGCTGCGCCCTCTTGAGGCTATCCAGAAGAGAGACCTCTGGCGCTCGGCCTCCAGCGTGCGGCGCTATGAGAAGCATGGCGCGCTCATGCGCCATATTGCAAAGATGACGTCCTCCCCGCTTCGCTCTGTGCCCGCAGCCCTTCGAAGGCTGCAGAATATGTTCAAGATTTGATGGCCCACCCACCCTGCCCTAACAGTCCGATTTACGGGGTACGGGATGATGTGATGATCTCGATAATTCAGGTTTTTCTCTTGTACTGTGGCGCCCCTTCAGCAGAAGCGACGTTCTTGAATGGAGCCCACTGGCTAAAGAGTTATCTGTTGCGCTTCGCGCACTGCATGGCCCTTCTGCCCACGTCTGCTCTGGTCGCCCGTGTAGAGAGGCCTACTGGTGCGTAGCAATGTTCTGTCCCTGACATCTCTGGCTGTGTTCTCGAGGGCGACCGCTCGACAGGATGTCGTTTCCATAATCCTTTTTGGCTCTGTAGTTTCCCTCCCCCCCTCCCTGGGATGAGGTGATTATCTTGATAATTCAGGCTTTTCGCTTGTACTGTGGCGCCGCCACAGCAGAAACGGCGCTCTTGAGTAGAACCCTCTGGCTAAAGAGTTATTTGTTGCGCTTCGCGCGCTGCATGGCCCTTCTGCCCACGTCTGCTCTGGTCGCCCGTGTAGAGAGGCCTACTGGTGCGTAGAAATATATATATATATATATATATATATATATATATATATATATCTATATAATATATATATAGGTGTGTGTGTGTGTGCGCCCATTTGGGACATGTGCGAGTGCTCATATACCCGGGGTCCTTGGCTGGGGGCCTGGGGGCAGCCTCCAGGCCCCCATGGGGGTGGCAGGGGTCTTCGGCCTCTCCGAGACGGCTTCAAAAAGGCTTCGACACAGCTTCAGAGAGCCCGAATAACCCCCAACACAGTCCATGAGGCTCCCGCGATGGCCCACGGCTGCTCCGAGACGGCTCAAGATGCAGCGGCCGAACATCCCAATACTGCCCACGAAGTTTTCAACAGGCCCCCGAAGAGGCGCCCGAGGATCTTAATTCAATCAAGCACCAACGGGAAATCAACATGCTTCGCCACCATCGCTCCTTCGCCCGAGATGATTGTGCGGGGCCTCGAGGTGGGAGAGCCCCAAGAGGTCCTCAATAGGCTTTCAAGACGCCTTCAAGAGACCCCAAGAAGCCACAAGAGGCGCTCGAGAGGCCCCGAGAGGCCTCCAAGAGGCTCCCACGACGTCGCGGGCGGGTCGCGGGCGGGTCGCGGGCGGGTCGCGGGCAGGTCGCGGGGTGAGTCGCGTGTGGGTTGCGGGTGGGTCGCGGGCGGGTCTCGCGGGGTGGGTCGCGGGCGGATCTCGCGGGCAGATCGCGGGTGGGTCGCCGGTGGGTTTCCATCGCATTTGCCCAATGTTCTGACTCTCATGCTCCGTCCAACTCCCCTCGATCTTCCTACAGCCCAGCCCATCGCTCAAAGTCTCCCGAGCAAATCGTCCAGCGGCGAAATGGTGATTGTGATAGACATGCTCGCCACCCTTCTGTCATCTTGGCGGCCGTCTGGGTGTAGATGGGTCCTGCTCTCTTGCTCCGTGGCTGAGGAGGAAAGTACAACACGCCCACGCAGACAGACACCACTTGTTAGCGAATCTGATCGGCCAGACAACTGCACCACAGCTCGGGAGGACAGAGACACGTCCAACATGATGGTCTCGCATGTCGCGCCTTGCCTTACCTTTGTCTCCAGCACTACGGTTCGTGGACAATTCCTAACTGCGCTGCTGCTCAAAATGCCACACGTCCACTCCGACGAATAATATTCGCCGACTCCATGCCGGTGTTTTGGGTGCCCGCGATGCGCGTGAAGTCCATATTCTTGGTGCAGGGCACTCTCTTCGAGACGACTTCCAGTTGCCCACGTAGGATTTCACCCAAGCACCCTCAACCTTGACATGGTCGGCAGTCACCGCACAACATGTGTCAGCCACGCGGCCGAGGGTGCCATGTTACAGACTGAATTCGTCACTCGGGCCCCAGAGTGTGCTCGTTTCTGCAAGCCAGGCTGGAGGAGGAGGAGGTGGAGGAGGCGGAGGAGGTGGAGGAGGAGGACAGGGAAGGGGAGGGTACAATCAGCGGATATTGTATGCACCTTTCTGTCCTGAACGCTGCTCGGCGAGACGGCCCGAGTCGAGACCTGTGAGCGCCGTGTGGGCTCTCGACACGCCCGAGCTTGAACGTAAGCGGCAGCAGAAGCATCTAGCTGTCTGGACTTTCGCACAGGCACGAGGGGATCTAATCTCTCCTCTCCTCCGCCGCTCGTCCGACCGATTCTACTTTTTTAGAATAGGTCTTAGAGGGGTCATAATGATCAGAGGGGGAGGGGGAGGGGGAGGACCCAAACTCAGGGTGGGAGGCTAAAACCTCACCACACATCACACGCGGGCAATCTCACTCCGCTCCACCTCCCGACTCATCGAGTCGCCCACGATAGTGCGGCTGCAGCAGCACGGCTAGCAGAGGCAGCAAGGGCTGCCTCGTCCTCCTGGCTGTGGACCTTGGTGGGGAAGCCGAGGGTGTCGATGATCATCTGCAGGTACCTCGCCTCTGAGCGGCGAGAAACATGCAAGGTCCACCATGCTACTGCAATATCCGAGAGAGCTGCAAACTTTGATGCAGAGGTATCAGTCGAAGTTGAACCTGTCGAGAAAGATGGACTCGTAGCCTTGAACTCTGTGTAGGTCACGTTTGGATCAGAACCCCAATCATCACCAATGTGCAACACTGTCGAGTGCAATAGAGTCTCATAGCATAGAATGCAGACAACCAGGCCACATAATGCCAATATTCATCTTCGGATTATCACACCCAGTTCTGCGAACCACGAACGCGAACGTGAGGAAGCCGACCCAGAGCAGTAGGGCGTGTCACCGCCAAACTGCTGGAAGTTCTGATACACCCACCTGCCATTCATCAAGTACTGGTACTGACCACTGCAAGTAGACTGGGAAAAGGTCGAGGGCGAGGTAGATGATGAGGACCACGTAAGGTAGCACAAGACTAAGAAGCCACACCATTCTTTGAAGTTCCACCATGTACATTTTTTAGACCCCGCGGCTGGAGGCCTCTCCGCACGAAACTCCACTTTGATACTAGTCTGGTGTCACCCAGGACCAAGTAGAATGTCTGCTGCACGGCTCGCACGCTGCTTGAAATGCCTTGGAACTGACTTGTCCATGTTCGCTGACTCTATCATCAACCTGACCCGCTCCTTCGTCTCGGAATCCTTGGAGATGCAGTCGGCCAGGAAGGTAGTGATGCTCTGCTTGGACAGGTCCTCTGGGATGACCGCCGTGCCCACGAGGCTCTTGAGCCACGCCCTGGCGACCGTCGAGAGGCCGCTCGGAACCGTAGCAGGCGCAGCACCTGGCGGCGATGGTGGAAATGGACTCGGAGTTGGCGGGCCGCTTGGTACAGCACCTGGAGGGGTTCCCACTGACTGCGCGGTGAAGCCCTGGCCGCAGATCCTCGCTATGTGCTCCTCAAAGCTGGACTTCGTGGCCTCTGCGAGGATCTTGCCCTGTGCCCGCAGCTGCTCCTCGTTCTTCGCCTGACGCGTCTCTGCCAAGAAGTTCGCGTACTCGGGGTCCCTCTTGGCTAGGAAGCGCCTGGACCGCTCAACCTCCTTGGATCTCTTCGCCTCGTCGCTCGAGTCTGACGTGTGGCCATGATGCCGCCGATCACGACGATCATCTCTATCGTCCCGACTGTCACGACCACTTCCGGGACGGGAGTGTCGATCATCGCGGTCGTCACGTCCGTCACGATTGTCTCGGGAGTAACCTTTTCCACCACCATGGCCTCTGCCACCCTCGTCAGAGTGGTCGTCCCTGCGCGGAGGCCCCATCGACCGGTGTGAGGTGGAGGGTTTCAGTCGTCGAAGCCAAGACCTGAGGACGCAGCGAGTTTCTTGAACCTCCAGACTCCACGGGCATCGATGAATAGGAGCACGTAGAAGGGGCAATGGATACCCGGGGAGGAACATCTCGAGTAAAAGCTCAAGCAACCAGTAGGAATGCAGAAACACCGACAGCCTCATAGATCGAGCCCGTGATATTCGATTTGCTAGGAGGCTGTACAGGCCAGCAAAGCCACGGGGACGAGCACCAACATGTGGTAGAACCGTAGCCCGCATACGAGGTTGCGTCTGATCATAGAGCCACGCCCGATTGTCGTTTTTTGGAATGATGATGACCACCGAGCCAACCGCAACAACTTCTAAGTTGAGCCAGGTAGCCGAAGACTATGAAAGAGACGAAGCCGTCTACAGTTTTACATCGTACGTGGTGTGTATAAAGTGTGCCGTACACGCTCTGCAGTAAGAAGGACTTAAACCTTGGATGTCGTCAACATACCGACGTAGTTTAACATCATATATCATATGATTCATGAGGTTGGAGTGGTGGAACACTTTCTCGAACAAAACGGGTTTGATAATGTTTTGCCCGAAATTCCTGAGAACACACTAAAACGCTGAGTGCAACACCAGACGGTACACCGCCGATTGGAAGACCTTGGAGCTCGAAAATGATTCCGAAGGCGCTAACCAGGGACACCCAGCAGTAGACCGACAGAGCTAGGAATGCGTCCGCCATGGTTACGCGATAGTAGCCCGATGGCACAGCAGTATCTGACATAGTGAGGGGCTTGACCGACGGGTAGATCTTTGAGCGCTTTCCTTTTCGAACGAGACAAGCTTCAGTCGGTGCCGCTGTTTGAATGTAATGCTTTACGAAACGCCATGCAGATGTGGTAGCTGTTGCACTGCACTGCTCATAAGCCTGGTCTGCATCACATGAGACAACACTGACCTCCGTAGCGTCACACCGCATCGACGACAATGTGGGGGGGAGCTGCGAGAAGACTGACACGAAGGGACCGAACATCATCAGCTGCGAATCTGATGTCAAATCACTCGTCACCTGCTTCTGACCACTTCAGGAAGCTCCGAGTGGCCCTTCCAAGAATCCGAAAACCAAACATACCAGGAGACCCTGAAGTGTCGATGACTCTCCTGAAACTGCTGTGAGCCGCTTTCCTGCAAAGCCTATTCCCTGTAACTGAGAAACACTTCGGACGAGTGGGAAGACAATGGGAGGTCGGGAAGGTGATTCAGGGGG